GCCAAAGCTCAAGAATGTGGCCCAGGAATCTAGACTTTTAAAGAGCACTTGGATTGATTCTGTAGCATGCTAACGTACAATTCTTCGAAGAGTAAAACTCCAAGATTAACCAAATGTTTGGCAAGGATCAAGTTAAACCAATTACATAAATCAGATTTAAACAGAATAGGGTGCTGCTTCTCTTTCTCTCTTTTTTCAAGTTAAAAAAGTAAGTCTGTCCTCCTTTCTATGCTCAAGTCCTGTGTAATTTAGTTTCAGCATTTATTTCTTTACTTTAAGTCTCCTGCCTTTGTAACTGATGAAAACAGGTGGTACCACATTGCCTCAGAAGTTGTGGCTTTTTCTTGATTTTATTATCTTCTTAGACTCTAGTGTTCTACAATCAAACCAAATTGCTGGTGTCTTTAATAAACCTCTTTCCAGAACCCTCTCACATGATCTACCTTAATACCTGAACAAATAGCACAGGGCTACTTCAGACTCCCCATGGCTCACTCTACCTTAACTCCAAAAGATCTTTGTTTTATCTCTTACTGATGCCACTGCCTGCAGACAATTCCATATTAGCTGCCACCATATTTATTTATTTATTTATTTATTTATTTATTTATTTATTTATTTATTTATTATTTTATTTTTATTTTTTTGCCTGCAGGACTCAGCCCACTTCTAAAATCTGTCAAGAAATCCACCTGTAAACACCTGCCACATCCATATATAAAAGTCTAGTCTCTTAGCTCCAGAGGCTTGTTCAGATTTATTCTGATTAAGAACATTTCCTTCTTTTTACAGGGATTGTTGAAAACATATTCTTATTCAACAGCTATGGGGAATACCAGATGATTGTAAAAGAAACAAACAAACAAATGACTTTGTACTAGTCATATTGAATTATTCCATTTCTGGAAAAACATATTAAGCAAGCTAACAGTTGCACCTAAAATTATTATTGTCATCATATAAGTAACAAATGATGCAATAAATTATAGTATACTCACTGATAATACATATATCATTCTCATTCAAATATTTTAGTAAAAGTTAATATCATGAAATAAATATAAAACACAAGAAATAAAATTATAACCTATTTGACTATTGCTTTACACTCGTATAACTCTATAACTATGTACATAGATTTCAAAAAAACCTAGAAGGGAATACATCAAAAAACTTTTCAATCTCTGTAAAATGTAGGAATTTTCTTTAGAGAAAATTCTTTTTTAGAGAGGGCATTACTCTTGTAAAATAAAAGTATTAATGAAAGATTATAGCATTTTCAGGGCATCAGTATGTCTAAGGAAGGCTAATGTATAATACCGGATTGGTATTTCCCACACTGTCTCAAATTTCCTTGAATGCTGCTATCTAGAAAACAGCCTGCCAAATGGTAACTAAGTTACAATAAAAGTTTTAAAGTAAAAAGCCACTGTAATAAGCTAACATCAAATGGTCACAATCCAGACCATCATGGTCGTCTTGCCCAAGCTTCAATATATGTAGTTTCAAAATCTGAGCAGTGTGTAATCTGTGTCAAGAGTGGTGTTGGTATTTCAGCAATGTCACTTACAAGGCATACTCAACATGAAACATCATGATCATTAACTAGCAGGCTCTTAGGTAACAGAATAGCACTTGCCCAGCAACCCTGAAACAAGACACACTGAGTGTGACCTACATACTTAAACTGGATATGTGTGAAAAAAATGATGTCATCACAGAAGTAAAACAGCAGCTGTATGTTCATCCACAGAAGAAGAAACCCTCAAATAAGAAAGGAAGAAGACATGTACCGAAATAATGCATCCAATAATATGGGTCATCCAAGAAATCATGTGAGAAAATGAACTAAAGGGGCAGTAGCTAAAGCAAAACTATTAAGCAGAGGACACAGCATCAGGTTTTGTAATCAGCTGATGTTGTTAGCCAGTTGAAACGTGTTAAAAATAAACATCTGCTTGAATGCATTATTTTATTGTTTAGCTTCCAGTTTAAAGATGAAAATGAAACATGTGTATACATGTGATATATTTTACATAATGGTGAGTGGATATTAGAAGCTTACAAAATGCACTTTTTAATTGTGTAACATCAAACACATCCCTCAACAATTGCAGGATTTGAGATGAGAGTAAGACCAAGCAAATGCTGTCACAGAAAGTGATGCAGTAGAGCTGTGTCGGAGAGAAGAATTTTGACATTTGGATAAAAAAATCATATATATTAAACCAATGAACTTTCCTTCATGTAGGCCATGAGAATGACTACATTTTTTTTTAAAAAATGCCATCTCTTTACAAACCTTTGCATAATTGTCAGTGAACTACCTTAAAAAAAAAAGTTTCCTCCTTTTAGATAGACCACATATTCTGTAAATCTTGTGTAAGTACATTTTAAATACCTAGCAAATCATTGTGATTGTGAAGTTTATTATCTAATAAATACCTCCTATGTAACAATTTTCCCAGTCAAGATAATTTTAAAAGATTAAAATGGCTATTGTCTTGGAAACAGTTGACATGAAATGACATAAGACATCCAAGTTAAATTTTTGATTCCCATAGTATCTAATGATTGGATATATAACAAGATTCTGGTCTTTACAAGACTTAGCTTCATTATCTGCAATTGTGGTTAATAATATTTAACTCAAATATTTGTTGGAATAAAATAATTTATGTAAGCAGTTACTTACAATGACCAGTACAAGGTAGTATCATTAACAAATGACAGTTCTTACATTGCATGTTTGAAATTTTAAACAATATTGAAAAGCAAAAATAGACTGACCTACAATTACTTACCTGTTAGTCAATAGTGAGCCCAAAATTGAGAGATTTGAAAATGATAGTGTTGTTGGAGAGTTGGTCCTTTTTGGTGCAAAGTCCAGGTCCTTGGCAACTCGAGCAAAGAATTGAAAGAGATGCTGGAGTAAAGTACTGAAAAAGTAGTTTATTCAAAGAGATAGTACATTTCAAAGAGTAGAAGTAGGCCCGAGCAGTAGAGATGGCTCAAGGGCCTATTATTAGAAAAGAAATTACATTCCAAAGAGTTTGGAGCCGGCGCGCAAAGGTGAGGCTCAAAGAGCTCAAAAAAGGGAGGAAGCGGACAAGAAGAGAAGAAGCAGTTAAGAAGGGGGCAGGCGTCCAAAAAAGGGGAAGGCTTTCAAAAGGCAGACTTCACAGGACTTGCAGTTTTTATCTCCTTTCTCTAGAATGGGCTGTTCCCCTCTGCGCACTGGAACACTTGATTGGCACCCGTAATTGACAAGAGGTACTGCGCAGGTGCGAGTGACTGGTCTGATCTAGTTGGGTATTTTGCACCCGTTTGTTTAAGGTGTAGATAGTTACAATGACAAGAAGTTTTGGGTGGAGAGGGGAGGTCACCTGGGCGGTCACATCCTGTGGGACGTGCAGGAATGCAGAGACCCAATGCCTGCCTCTAACTGCCTGCCTTGTTTTCCCCTTGAGAGACGTGATCCCCATAAAATCTTTATGGGAAACTACAGAACAGGAGGTGTCTTCTGTATCTGCTTTCTGCTAGGCAGGGGTATAGAGCTGTCCCTGCCTATTGGGGGATTCACTGAACTCTCATCCTAGCTGATCTTTGATGAGAGGAAGGGGACTCAAGCTCCGCCTGGAAGACCATTTTGGCTTCTTTGGTTGTGACTGGCACTCTTGTTGGGGTGTCCCTGTAACCCCAAGGTCCCTGAATGAGGAAAAATAAATTTTAATTAATAAATCTGTAAGCTATCATGAAGCTTGTGGCCATTCAGCCTGTCACTCAGGTGGCATCAATTGTCTGAGCCCAGAAAGGGTTTGGAAAGAATAATTAGGCTTACTGGCCTGGGGGATATTAGGAAGTCACAAGCTTTCAAGTATTTATCTGAAGCAGGGGTAGGAGGCTTCTATTGTTTAGGATTCAGAAACTGATTTACAAAGCAATCAAGAAGCTGGGGGATAGGAGGATTCTATGATTCAGGCTAGGAATAATACTTAGTCTAGGATTCACAAACTGGTTAGAAAAGTAATCAAAGCCGAGAGCTAAGAAACTAAGAAACTAGCTAGGAAACTTAACGTTTCTATAGGAAAGAAAACTTAAAAGTTTCTCAGTAGTGGGGGTGGGAGTGGGGCTACTCAGTTGGCCTGTAACAAAAGCAATCATTTGCAAAAGCTAAATAAGTAAGTGCACTGAGAAGTAAGGCATTAAACAGTTCATTGTTTTTGCTTTCGTTTTCCCAAATATCTAATTGAAGTAAGATAAGCCTGAGACACATAAATGCATCCTGGAGGGCTCACAAACAAAATGTCTTTTCTATAGAGTTTGGTGAAGATTGTTCTGTGGATTTTCCTTGTCTTGACCAGAAAATTGTAGTTTCTCATTACACTACTGCCTGCAGGGCCTCTGAATAGGAAATTGCCAACGCTGAGATTTGTATGACTTAAATAAGTTTTGGGGTGTGGGGGATGGGCGGTGGGGTTGAAAGGGCATACATAGCAAAGACATTCACTCAGTTACTATAACTAATCTTTTGATTTTCATCCCTTTATCTGCAGAGTAATTATTTTGTTTCCTAAGTTATCTTTTACATTCCTTTATAACTACATTAGCACAGACTGAAGTTACAAAGATTTCAATAACAGCATTTTTTCAGAACAACGTGTACATCTTTAAATCTTAAAACAAGCATAAGAAAAATATATATTCAATAAAAGAGGGGAACGTCTTTAAAATTCTGGTAGTGTTAGAAAAAAACAAAAACGTACATTTTCTGTTTAATTTCAGCTTCTGTTAAAGAAGCTTCTGTTTCTTTCTTAATTCACTTAGATGAGCGCCTGCAATCTTGAAGCATGAATCCGGTAATACTTTTGTAAATGAATCACTATTGCATTCATACCATTAGCCTCTGAACAGATGTCAGAAAGTAAAGATTGGCTGCTTCTAGATCAAGTTGCGGCTGCCAACTCTCGCGAGCTTTGTCAGTAACAGTTGATTGTAATGTCAGTGCCGTCCAATTTCAGGCTGGAGCCGCAGCTGCATACTGCATTTCCCTGAAGTATTACATGATTTCCACTCCTTGAAAACTTTATCATCTTTGTGGCAGCGGGTCAGGTAAGTTGCTCTGAATTTACATCTTCGTGTAGAGATGCAAGTTACTGTGAAGCTCAATCTGTAGGACTGTGGTCCCTTCACCTGTTTCCTGTGTCTCTTTGGTGCTCTGTGGGGAATAGTCATTGCAAATGGAACAGATGAAGCAAGTGAGCAGGAACATGCATCAAATCTAACTATTATTCAGGGAACACAGGCTGAATACATTTAGCTGCTGAGAAAATAATGAATTTATTCCACTTTGTATAAAAGATCATAGCACTTGTGGAGTCAGCGTTATGCATGTTCTTAGTGCATTCACTAAAGGAAAACATTTTATGCTTTTTGCCCTTACATGCACTGTTTAGTGAATTTCTCCTTAAAAGAATAACAAAAGTGGTCTTGACCAGTTTTAATCTATTTTTTTCTTTTGTTTTTTTAAGTTGCATGAAGTGAATAATTCTCTTCTTTTCTGGCTTGTGAGGGTATGTGTCTTAGTCAATATTTTGCCATCTGAAATTTTAACATCAACTGGCAAAAAAAGTTTTAGCTTTTTTATATAAGAGGAAAACCTATTTCCTAATTAGATTTACACTTTTTGTTTCCTTTGGCCTGTTTGTCCTCTTTCTTTTAATATGTATATAAATTGTAGCAAAATATTTTACATTTACTGTTATTTTTATTATTATAGAAATTGTAAGCAAATATAAGCTTCTGCTCATCTTGTAATCTTGTAAACCTACATTTATTTTGATGATATCAGTTCTTGTTTAACCAGAGATTAAGCAGTAAGTATAAGATGTATAAATGATTACAAGTAAACTACATGGAAACAAAATTACTACATTATTTATAACTTTTATTTGTGTTTTTTTTTTTAATTTTTAGAGTATGCCTTCCAAATTTTTATGAATATATTGCATGCTAATAAGATCAATTAGGAGTTACTATCACTAGTCTGTATAATGCCTTCCATAATATAAACTATCTCATAGTTATGATAAACATATATTCATATTTCGCCTACTTTTTTAACGATGAGTGTGAGCTTTTAGAGAGTGGTTTTATACTTTAAATAAAAACTATTAGAATTCTCTGTGAATTTGAAATAAGATGGCCTTTTGGATGCCAAATAAAATTTCTAATTGGATTTGCAAAGTTCTGTTTTATTTTCCTAGATCTGTTGTTATTATTTTCCTAGATATGTTGTTATTATTGCTTGTTTTTAATGTCTGCTCCTTTATTTGTTAGAAAATATTTGGGGTCTACTCCACATTTCAGTTTTTAAAATATAATCTAATATCTTATCAAGTGACATCTTATTTACAGTTTAGGTTGTGCTTTGATTCATTTCTTGGTAACACTTGATAATACATATTTAAATTGTATGCTGTCTTCATTTGAATGCTTTCAGGCCAAAAGGTGTTCATTCTTTTAAAAACTGAGTTGTCCCAGATGTTACAGAATTATAATTGAATAGATGTCAACATAAGAACAGATTCAACTTTCACAGAAGACCCAAGATACCTCTTTAATATTAAATGTTCAAATCATTCACATAATCAAAAGTTTGTGAATGTACTTCCTGATTGAAGACAGATACAGATCTTGTTTCCCATACCTAATATAGTGTCTTCTATCTGCACACATCCCTTCAGTTCCTAATGGATGTCTGAAGGGTTCCTGAAAGGCAGTGGTATAGTCTATTTATAAACAGACTTCCTCAGTGCCCCACTTAACTTAGCCTGCAACAAAACACTCTTTTTAAGTTTAGTATAAAGGCTTAGTTGTTTTAATTTGACGAAATACATTTTAGTGGTGCTTGTGCTAGATCATATTATCTAGACAGCTCTTTTCTCACTGTTTTAAGAACCATCATTTTTCTGTAGAAACATATATTCTGACTTTTTGAAATATAGAAAAATTACTCTATACTCAGAGAAACTTATCAACATGTGCTTCATCATTCTTTAAGAAGTCCTTAGCTGGCAAGTTATTTTGAAAATTTGGTTATATCCAATTATGGCAAATCTATGGCAAATAAATAGCCCCGTATTTCAATCATTTTATTACACCCATATCGTATAGCGTAGCATTACAATTTCTTATTAAAAAGCATCAAAAATTTTTGATACCACTTTCAAAATTAAATTAAAATGCAAAATAAAATAAATGATTATTTTCCTTTATTATTATGAAAGTTATATTTTTAAAAGTTTAGAATATTTTCCCAATATCGCCAGTAGATTTTTATATCCTGGAGCATTTCTTAAACTTGGAACACTAAAGTATTAGTTATCTTTCAGGTTTTTTCCCCCGTTCCCACTCTCATCATTATTTCTTTTTCAATTCCAAACAAAAACTCATGCCCTTCTTTGAAATGTTAAACATTATAACAGTAAGTTAGTTAATCTAAATTCAGATACTTAGTTTTACTGGGCATGAAAATTTACCCCATTTTTTATGATAAACATGTTATGTGTTCTCAGTGTTTAAATTGTTTATTTAATGTAACAGTAGTCAATTTGCACCAGAATTTTTAAGAAAAAACATTGAAGTTTTATTGAATATTTCAAATGTTAATAAATATTTAGAGATATAGACTAACATTTTCCTAGTCACCTTTAATTATTTCTCTTTCAATCGTTTAATCATGTGATGACATATTAAAAATATAAACATTTCTTTATGGGAAAACTAGAGAGCTACATGTTTGTTGGTCTGGAGAATACCAGATTATAAAAAGGACAAACTAATGCTTATTTAAATAAAGTACTGCAGCTAAATATAAACATATTAACCTACACCAACAATAAGAATGCAAATTTTAGTATTAAAGTCTAGATTTAATAATATGGTATATAACACTCTCCAACAGGTAGCCTGAAGGTGAGTTGTAATTATATTCATTATTCTTGTAATGAACACATGCTTATAATGATGTTTTTAATGTTACTAATTACATTATTTATAAGGTGGTGACTCATAGATATCATTGTTGAAAAAGCAATATTATTTATATAAATCATATTAAATAAAATTAAGATCTACTCACCACAAAATGTAAATAAAATACAAGAAGTAGTTATGTTAATCAAACTAAGTGAAATAGGAATGATGTTACAACCTTTTAGATGTTATAGTAGCTGTTTTTTAGCATGTGCAGTAAAAGTTATTACATTTATTAATTACATATAAAATCAAAATAACTTGGTCCTACAAGTAATTGTGCTTCGTGTGCAATAAAATTAATAAACTGTAGAATGAGAGTTTGAAAATTATCAGAGAGCAAAAATTCTTAAGATTTGATGTTTGGCTTATAAACACAAAATAATATTTATATGAAACCAAGAGAAAAAAAGCAATCTTGATGTTAGACTCAGAACATTGATTGAGTTAAGCCAAAGGGAGAAATGAGTTGAACCAGAGATGTTGTGATTAATTTGTTGAAATGTAATTTGGAATAAACCAGCTTTGAATCTTAACTCCTTTTGCTTACAAAAGAGGGTTTTAAAAAATATATATAATAATAATAATATCATTGCAGCCCTTTGTTCTTCTCCAAATGCCCTCTTCAAAATTTATTTAGAAGAGCTTAAAAATTACCAGAAGGAAAAAAAAAATTGTAGTAATAGTGACTCGAAAACTCAAACTGTCAGAAATATAAAATTTAATTAGTGTCATCTATAAGAACCTTTATATTATTATTACATTATATTTATTCCTATTTATAGCATAACAAATTACATTTATTATCATTATAATACCTAAATACCATAGTATAAAAATAGTCTTGAAATATTATATACTTCAATAACATAAAATGTTGGTCTTAGCACAAATTAAATTGTACCAATATTGAGAACTTAAAAAAAAAAATCTTGTTTGATTTTTAAAAACCTTATTATAGGGGTTACTGGTTAGCTCAGTTGGTTAGAGCATGGTGCTGATAACACTAAGGTTGCTGGTTCGATCCCCGCACGGGCCACAGTGAGCTGTGCCCTCTCTAAAAGAGTCAACTATACCACTGTAGAATGAAAGAAATGTGTAATCAATGACCATGGCTGTTTCCAATAAAATTTAAAAAATAAAATAAAACAAAAACTTTATTATAACAATCATTATATAGAAATATATGCATATGCATATGGATATCAATAGAATTAGATATAGAGACATAGATATAGACATAGGCATAGAGAAAGATAGAAACAGAGATTAGAGAGAGAGAGAGAAAGAGAGAGAGAGAGAGAGAGAGAGAGAGAGAGAGAGAGAGATATCTGTAAGTACTGGGCATTGAATAAAATACCATACTCAATGGATTAGTTTATTTAGATATTTTAGGGGGATCAAAAATACTTGTTGATTACTAGTTATCCTATGAGCAGTGGTGAATGAGGCTGATTTAAAATATGAGTATCATAGATCTGGGACAGGTATCAGAATAGGGCCTTATTATCTGCCTTCTAAGGCAATTAGAAGTATAAATTTAATAATAATAATAATAACAATAATAATAATAATAATAATAATAATAATGGAAATTCTTAATGCTTGGAGGATTAGCTTCTTAGACACATAAGTTGCATTTATAATTACAGTGTCAAAAAGTAGTAAAGAGAAAACTTTGTATATTTGTGGACCTTTGTTATGTGGATGAGTTCCGTGTTTGTATGACAATTTGAATCCAGCTTTCTTTCAGATATATAAAGGTGGTAGTTCCTTTTAATTATATTTGCATTCCATTTTTCTGTCCCTTTTTTGTCACATGGAGTTTCGGAATCTGATTTTTTTAAAATTATTTTATTTTTTAAAACCTCAAGATTGCATTATGAATTTTTAATAAAACTTTGATCTCCCCAAATGGTCTCGTCATATCGTCAATTAAATATTATTTAGTAAAATACAAAATAGTTATGATTTTGAAAGTCTCAAAGATTACTTTTGTTTCCCCCACTTTTCCTAGTTATTTCTCATCTTTAGTCCCCTTATTTCACTCATTTTGTCCTCTATCAAATACAAGTAAATCTGACCATGTTAATACATTTAACCTCACTAGTTGTGCATACCTTAATTAATTAACATACTAACAGATGTGCATCAAATAATCCCTGAGTGTAAAATTCTTTTTAAATCATTATCTCCTCCCACAGATTATATTATTAGCCACTGGTTCTCTCCATTGACATTGTAATTCAGGTAGAGAAGCCCTTCATGGTTACTCAGTTACAGAGAAATTGTCTGGTATGTATTTGCAGACCTCTCTTTCCAATTTTTCCCCATAGGCCTCTACAGTCGTAGAAGATTTATTAGTTTTCAAAATTTGTAGGATAAAATGCAAGTACTGTATTTTTTGTTATTTAACTTGCAATGGCTAGATTTTCCAAAACCTGTTCTGGCCATAGATTAAGATTGTATAAGGGAGAAACCACTAGGCAAAGAGGACCACAGAAAGGACCATGGAAACAAAAAAAGACAATAATAGAAATATAAGGAACCTCAAAGATTCTTAATCTACTTCGCAGTTCCATCAAGAGCTAGCTACTTGTGATTAAAACTGTATGTATTTCAAGGCATACATGATCTAATATTTCCTTCTCTAACCATGTTAAAATTATATCTGTCATAAGGAGATTACCACTTAATGCTACTTATGGTAGAGCTGTGTATGGTAGAGAACTATATATATATATATATATATATATATATATATATATATATATAGCCACATATCACCCATCTCTCTTCAGAACAGCCACTTCTCCAGATTTCTTTTGTTAATTCATCAATTCCTGCATCCCTCCAAATTTCTTCTTGAAGAGTACAGCTATCCCAGCCCCCATTCGACAATCCTCACTGATACAGTGAGCAAGAGAATCTGTTTGGGGGCATGCAAAAAGGTCTCCTTTCACATAAGTGATTCTGCTTCCTTCCAGATCTTCATTAGGGCTGCTGGACATGATCTGAGTCGCTATCTCCAGAATTTAAATGTTTCTTCAGCCTACAGCAGGTCAGCAAGGTGTAGGCCTGTCCTGGGGTCCTGTGGGAAGGAGCAGGGGGCTCGCTCAAAATGAGGGTTACCCTTCACCTGGAGTCGGCCCAAATTTCCTCTTTAAAATACTAAATCTTCCTTACAGAGGTTTGATAATGAATTTTTCCAAAGTGAAATAATTTCTACTTTTCCATTCCACTTATTTATTTTAAAATTGAAACTGAAATATTTTCAACCATTTTCTTTGTTTGTCTGTTTTTTAACATAAGCATTTATAGTTGTCTTCATTTGTAGGGTTAATAAGAACTATATTTTAGTTAATTATCATCAATAAAATGCAATGCCATGTGCATGAGGCTGTTAAAACTTCCTACTTACCTCTCTTTCAGAAACCAATATGCAGAGCAAGGGTACAATTATATGCATCCAACATCTTTTGAGGTTTCTTCTGCTCTGCGTGCTTATTGGAAAGTCACATACCGAAGAAGACATCATCATTACAACCAAGAATGGTAAAGTCAGAGGGATGAACTTGCCAGTTCTCGGTGGCACAGTAACAGCCTTTCTTGGAATTCCCTATGCACAGCCACCTCTTGGTAGACTTCGATTCAAAAAGCCACAATCCTTGACCAAGTGGTCCAATATTTGGAATGCCACAAAATATGCAAATTCTTGCTATCAGAACACAGATCAAAGCTTTCCAGGCTTCCTTGGATCAGAGATGTGGAATCCAAATACTGACCTCAGTGAAGACTGCTTATATCTGAATGTGTGGGTTCCAGCTCCTAAGCCAAAAAATGCTACTGTGATGGTATGGATCTATGGTGGTGGTTTTCAAACTGGAACAGCATCTTTAAATGTTTATGATGGCAAGTTTCTGGCACGAGTTGAAAGAGTTATTGTCGTTTCAATGAACTATAGGGTGGGTGCCCTTGGATTCTTAGCTTTACCAGGAAATCCGGAGGCACCAGGGAATGTGGGCTTGTTTGACCAACAGTTGGCACTTCAGTGGGTCCACAAAAATATAGCAGCCTTTGGTGGAAATCCTAAAAGTGTGACTCTCTTTGGAGAAAGTGCAGGAGCAGCTTCAGTTAGCTTTCATTTACTTTCTCCTAGAAGTCACCCATTGTTTACTAGAGCCATTCTGCAAAGTGGATCTTCTAATGCCCCTTGGGCAGTAACATCTCTTTATGAAGCTAGGAACAGAACATTGACCTTAGCTAAATGCATTGGTTGCTCTAGAGAAAATGAGACTGAGATTATCAAATGCCTTCAAACTAAAGATCCGCAGGAAATTCTTCTGAATGAAGTATTCGTTGTCCCTTATGATAGTCTTCTCTCAGTAAACTTTGGTCCGATTGTGGATGGTGATTTCCTCTCTGACACACCAGACACACTACTCCAACTTGGACAGTTCAAAAAAACCCAAATCTTGGTGGGTGTCAATAAAGATGAAGGAACTGCCTTTTTAGTATATGGTGCTCCTGGTTTCAGTAAAGATAACAACAGTATCATAACTAGAAAAGAATTTCAGGAAGGTTTAAGAATATTTTTTCCAGGAGTGAGTGACTTTGGACGGGAATCGATCCTTTTCCATTACATGGACTGGTTCGATGATCAGAGAGCTGAAAATTATCGTGAGGCCTTGGATGATGTCATTGGGGATTACAATATCATATGCCCTGCCTTGGAGTTCACCAAAAAGTTCTCAGAGTTGGGAAATAATGCCTTTTTCTACTATTTTGAACACCGATCCTCCAAACTTCCTTGGCCGGAATGGATGGGAGTGATGCATGGTTATGAAATTGAATTTGTCTTTGGTTTACCTTTGGAAAGAAGAGTCAATTACACAAAAGCTGAGGAAGTTTTGAGTAGATCCCTAATGAAACGCTGGGCAAATTTTGCAAAATACGGGTAAGTGCCAATTTTTGTAATTTTTCTTGTTTGGTTTGGTTTGTTTTGCTTAGCTTTGCTTGGTGTCTGGTGTAGACTTCATTAAAGGCACAGAAAGGTTTTAAATGTTTATTCTTTTTGTAATTTGCTCTGATTTTGTCTTTTGTTATGCAGTGCATTTCAATTCCTTGCATCAGGTTCCTTAAAAGAAATCATCGAAGAACTCGTATGAAAAATATTTTCTGATTTTATTTCCAAAATACTGCAAAGCATCTCTTAAGCAGGGCTACAGTGGTACAAGCCGTGTGAATAAACGCATGCCTGCTCATAGAAAGTGAAGAGCAAAATGGTGATGGGTTTGACCCTCAGATTAACCAAAATACAGTTTGCCATTTTATCCTATTGTTTTCCTTAATAAGATTGTCAGAGTTATCAGGTGATGCATATTGGACAAGAGCTACTCATGTTTTGCTAAGTTGTTTTCCACTTGGGCTGTCATATGGCTGATATTATAGAATCAGAGACTTTACAAAAGAACATATTTTTCCCTCATGTGTTATAAATAGTGTGGCATTATGTCCTGAAGAAGAGTCTGAAGAAAATGGTCTGTTGAAATACACTTCCTAATTTATATATTTCCTAAATATACAAATGTGTGTGTATAAAAAATAAGATGTTTTTATGTGAATAAATTTAAAAAGTGGAAATTTGGGCATCTGTTTTTAAAAGGCGTGCTTACACACACTCATAAATTGATGGATGCATTAACCCAGTCTGACATGCTCTCTTTTCTAATTGAAAAGGCTGTTGATAACTGTATGATTGCTTTCTGGTTTTCTTTTTTCATCCTCCATTTGAAATTCATTGTACTCCGTGTTATTGTATGTATTTTTCTACAAAGTACTTGTATGATATAATTATCAAACATTTTTGATACTTATCCACTGAATATAAAGTTAAAATTTTTTCATCTGGCACTAAGAGGCATCTGTAATCCGGCTGCAACTCCTACTCTCCAACAACCCCTGGCCACTTGGTGCTTTGACCAGTTATCTCGTGAATGCCAATGATGCCAAGCTTACCTGTACCTTAGAGCCTTCTTTTTGCCCTGTTCCTGTTTAGGACATCTACCACTCTCCTTTGTAATGTCACAGTCCTGTTATTTTTTTAAGGTCCTCAGCAACAAGTTTCATCAAGCATATCTTTAATTCCTAGAGTTGTAATTGCTTCAGACTGCTTTTCACTCTCACAGGAGTTATTGACTGTGCCTTGCCTGTATTCTATCTTGCATTGTGTCCTGAGTCTCCTAAACTAGACTAAACTCGCCTCTTGAAAGAGCAACTGTGGTTTTATTGGATACTCATTAAAATACTGACTTGGGTATATATAATACTACACAGATATTTAGTTAATGATTTAATGAGAACAGGTAAAGGCTAGTATGAGTAAGAACTAGAATTCTTATAAGATACATGGCCTATTATATTATCTGCAGCTGTGCAATATCTTATGCTTTTTCAACATCAACATCAACCTAAATTTCTTCTTAAGAAGGAGCATCTTATTTCTAGAGCTGCATTACAACTACTTATATCCCATTCTGTTCTCTCTTTAAAGGATATGTCCATATGAAATCATTCAAATATGTTTTAATTCTTTCATACAATTCTAGAGATTGTAAATATTTTAAGGAGAAATATTTCTTAAAGTTATTGATGCCTGTAATTTTTAAAGGACTTCATATTTTGCATGTTGAAATCATCAAAGAATTTATATTTTTTTCATTTCACAATGGAGAATTCTGAAAATCAGGTGTGATAAATGTCTTGTTTATGGTACTCAGAGACAGAGCAAAGAAGAGAACCTTTGACACTTAATAGAATCGATTGTTTCATCCTAATCTACTTCTATGATTAATATATTTTAATGGGAAGTAAATGAAGGTTGATACATTTTAATAATAATGATAAATTAATGTAAATGAGATTACAAACCAAAAGATTAAAGTAGACTTTTTAAGTAGTATAGCCATAACAAGATGTTCTTTTAGTTGGCGAGTTTCTTTACAGTTTTATTTGCACAGTTGAACAGAGATACATCCTATGTGTTGAGAGTTGACATGATGGCAAACATAATGTTAATCTCCTGGTATGCATTATCTTTTTTCAAAGCATACTTAAGAACAAATATAGAAGCTTAGAAAGTTAAGTAAACTCCAAAGGAAACAAAGTTGGTAAGTGTTAAGTTTGGAAATCTAACCACATCTGCCTGACCACAAACATGATGTTCTAACTCTGTAATTCTCAACCCAGGAAATAATGTCTGAAGATGTTTTTTACTCTCCTGACTTGGAGTGTTGATACTACTAGCAAGATAAAAGCCAGGGAAGCTGCTAAACATCCTATAATGCACAACAAAAAGTTATTCATTCCTGATGTCAATAATACAGAGATTGAGAAACTGCAGGTTTCTACTTCCACAGGACCCAAAAATGACATGTTAAGAAAGTAAAAAAGTAGAGCTGGGAGTTGTAATTATCATTCAGGAAAATTAGTTTTCAAGTTCATGGTTCATAAGATGTGTTAAGTTATTTCCCTTCTTAAATAATAAGTCAAGCATATATTGTATTTTTCATTATGATTAGGTTCAAAATAATTTCAAATTTTTGTGTGTGTAATTTTTTTTGGTTGCTGAGTTGTTTAGCAGCCTGTATTTAACTTCCAAATATTTCGATAATTTCTAGATGTCTTGTTATGGATTTCTAATTTAAGCTGTTTCTAAATATAGACTATATGCTGTAAGATTTCCCATTTGAGATATATTGAAAACTACTGATTTTATGACCCAGGATATGATCTATATGTGGGATAATTTCATGTGCTCTTGAAAATAATTTGTGTTTTTCAGTTATTGATATGGTGTGTTTCATATATAATTATTTTATGGTTGCTCAAGTCTTTTAATATTCTTTTGAAAATGGTTGTTTCACTTGTTTCAAATACAGAAAGAAAAGAATAAACATCTTCAACTATAATTGTGGTTTTATTTATTTTTCTATTTAGATCTGCTAATTTTCCTTTTAGTAATTTAAATTTATCCTATTAATTCCATGCACATTTAGGACTATGTATGTATTCTTATCATTATGAAATATCTCTTTGTCCTGAAATTGGTTTTGTCTAATATTAAGATAGACACATCAAGTCTCCCGTGCTTATGTCTACATAATATATTTCATTCCATCTTTTTATCCAACCCACCTATGTTTTTTAAAAATCTTTCCTTACAGTTGGTAATGAATCAATTTAATATTTACTATAATTATCAATATGGTTTTAAGCCTACCATCTTGCTTAATTCTTCCTTCATATTGCCCCTTTACAGTTCTTTTTCCATTAATTGAGAATGTTTTTATTATTTCATTCTATTTTTATACATGTTTTATTTCCCTTTTAATTGTTTTCTAGTGGTTGGTTGAAGATTAACAATTGTTTCTTTAATGTAAAGCAGTCTACCTCGAGTTAATATTGAACTCCTTTGCACTTTGCAACTGACATTTTCCACTTTCTTCACAATTCGTGCTTCCCCTTTTCTCTTTCTCTCTTACTACTTCAAAAATGTAAGAAACCAACAATATAGTTTCATGTATTCTTCTTCATGGTTTTCATATTGTTGTCATATGTTTAGACAATGTATAGTATAAAATCTCCCTTAAATATTGTTTTAAACAATCAGTTATATTTATGAAATTTATAAATAAAAAGAAAAGTAGTTTTTCGTATTTACCCATATATCTAATGTTTCCAATGTTCTTTGGGCTTTCCTGAGGATTCCAGTTTTCATCTGGTATTATTCTCCTTTTGCTAAAGAACATACTTTAGGATTTCTCATTGTGCAGGTTGGCAATTACAAATTCTATCAGCTTTTTTATCTGAAAAAAATGCCTTTGTTTTACTTCAATTGAAAGATATTTTAAGAATATAGAATTCTTAGTTGATCTTTTTTTTTCTTTCATCAGTCTAAAGATTTGTTCCATTATCTGCTTGTCTCTTCAGTTCTAAAGTGAAATGAGCCTTTATTCATATGATTTTTCCCTCTACATACAATCCCCCCACCATCACTACCCAGTTGATATCAAAATTTTCTGTCTTTGATTTTCACTAGTTTATCCATGATGTTTCCCAAGTTTGATTTCTTCATGTGTTTGTTTGTTTGTTTTGGTCTGGGGTTCACCAAAATTCTTCCTGTTTATTTTCAATGTCACATTTGAAATATTTTGGATAATTATTTCATCAACTATTCTTTCTGCCTCATTCTCATTCTCATCTCCTTCTAAAACTCCAATTATACAGATACGAGGCTGTTTCATATTGTTGTACAGCTCACTAAAGTTCTGTTTTCTTTTTCAGTTTTGCTTCTGTTTTTCAAATTAGATAATGTTTTGATTGATTTCTCTGCAAGCTAACTGACTCTTCTACCCTCTCCAATTGGTGGTTTAACCCATCTGCTGAATTTATTTCACTTATTTTAGTTTACAGATTTAAAGTTGTCTTTTTTTTTTTAGTAGTTTCATTTCAATTCTTTTCTAAGTGTTCCTCCCTGTTTCCTATTTAAGAAAATATTGTTCTTTAAGTTCTTGCACATATTTAAAATACCTTTAAGTTTTTGTGTGCTCATCTGATATCTGGTTCAGGGGTTTAGTTTCTATTTTTCTATTTCTGTGCGTGCCTAGCAACTTTAAAATTTATATTAAATTTGTGAATGGTATGCCGTAGAAATTCTATATTACTTTATACTCTTCTGAAGAATGCATGCTTCCACTCAAAAAATATGTTTCGTTTTACCAGGCAGTTCAATTAAGACATGTGTATAGACTTGAATTTGTATTATAGTCTTGGTTTATATTTTGTTAGAGTGGGTCCATGGAAGGTCCAAGATATTTTACAGACCCTGGAACTTGGCAGGACTTAAACTCAAAAGTCTGTCTTCATTGAGGCTATTTCAGGGACTTTGTTTAAGAGTCTGTTAGGATGTACATAGACTAGATATCACTGAATTCCTTACTTCTAAGGTATAGCCTTCCACTCAGCTGAAACTGAGTATCAATGAAGTATTAATGAGAGGTGAACAAAGCGTTGTCAATATTATTATAGCTTTTCATTCTCCAACTTGTCCCTTCTTTTTTCTGCTCTCAGCCCTGCAGCATCTTCTCTCCGGCCAGCCTCTTACACTTTCACCTTGTAGATATATAGTTAGCCCAGGCCTCAGCCAAAGATCTGCAGGGAATTCCTGCAGAGAATTCTGGCCCACCCCTTTCGCCTAGCTCCCTCCTTTTTGGAGTCCTGTCTCACAGATTCTCATTTCTCCCCTACCCCAGAACTCTTATTTCTGACTTCAGTCGGACTGCTGTATTCTGCTTAGGCTCAAGCAGCCTGCATCTTTGACAAGAAATCATCCTCATGTGAGTAACCATAGTAAACACGGACTCACCTTGGCGTTCTCCTTGTCTCAAATATCATAGACTTGTGCTTCCTATTATCCAGTTCCTGAAACTCATTGCCTTGCTTTTTGGTTGTCCAGTATTATAATTGGATATGGTGGGAAGGATAATCCAGTTTCAATCACTCCATCATGGGTGAATATAAAAGCTCGACTTTTACCCCTATGTCTGTGTTAAGAAAACCTTAATCTTTATATTTCTCATTCAGTTACATGGCTCATTTTTTCAGTAACTTTATAGGATCTTATCACTTTCCAAGATATACAAACACCCTTATACTTTGATTTCTTGACAAAAATAAAGAAACCATTACTCTGTGGTAACACTAAATGGTACTCAAATTCGGTATCTTTAGCAATGCTTGAGATTCTTTACAAAACAGAAGCCATAATATAATTTAGGGCCTGGCTAATTGGAATTATCACCAATATGTACTTTGCTAGCTCCTGCTTTACTCTCAATCTCATCTCTGAAAGTGAACTTAAAACCTTACTCAAATACCACACAGGTCCATATGTGCATTACATCCAAAATCTTACACTAATATATGTTGAAATATCAATACTCTCTATATCTATCTATATCTATATCTATTATTCACCCAAGCAATAACTTGAAGGCCAACAAATTAAATTCAGCAGCACTTAATGATGTCCTTTCAGCACTATCACAGGGATACAGGAAATTGTTGAAATCAAACTTGATTTAGCAGAGAAACCAGAACAGCTAAAGAAGGAATATAAGCCGAAATACAATCAGTAGCATGATTCCAGAACTCTTCCAGTTGTTTCGTGCTGTTGCAAAGGATCTATTGTTTATTATAACCTCCCTGGTGCTATATTCAGAGCTCATCTCCTGTACAACATCAAGGGGTTGCCATTCACAGAGAACTTACATAATCTTCTCCATTGTATGTGATTTCCCTGATTTCTAAATAATTATTAAATCAATAATAATTATTGATATGTCCAATGATAATCTTTCCACAGATCCTATGTATATATAACCCTAGGCAAGATAGTTAAAATTCCCTACTGTTTATTTCTTATCTGTAAAATGGGGATATAAATATACTTTTCATACGGACATATTGAAATATACCTTATCATTGACAGGACATTGCATTCCTCCTTTCCATTAAAAGATTCAATTTTTCCTCCACCAAGCACAAACTACTTCAATCTAGTCTTATCTAAAATTAAA